AAGGAAGGAAGGAAGGAAGGAAGGAAGGAAGGAAGGAAGGAAGGAAGGAAGAAAGAAAGAAAGAAAGAAAGAAAGAAAGAAAGAAAGAAAGAAAGAAAAGTATTTTTGTGTCAATACTTTTTTGCAACCAGAGAACTGGGGAAAAAAATTGCATCTCCCTTCCCCAGGGTTTTTTTGCCAAACAAATCTAGAAAACACAATCATCCCTTGAGTATTTAAAGATAAGAAAAATAAGTCCATAGTAAAAACAGGAATCTTAACAAAATGTGAGGTTAAAAGCACATTTGACTGCAGATACTTTCTCTATCCTACAGAATCAAGAGAAGTGACCTCTAGCAAGATAGAAATTAAAACAGGTTTGTGCACCCAGCAAACTGCTATACAGTGAACCCATTACCTGGTAGAGGAGATATGTGGACTCCACTAGCTCTGGTCTCAAAGGGTAGAAGAGAACGTCAGGGGCCTGGAGCTGCCAGTTATAGCGCTCAGGGAGGGCCCCGTACCGCTTCCATATGGCATAGTAGAAGGCATGCAGGCAGATGGCGTCTTCCACATCCCCTATCAGGACCTATGAAGACAATACAGGCAAACTATCTAACGTCATAGGCAGATCTTCAAGTCTAGGGGCTGATTTCACAGAAGGATCGAGATGTCCTAGCAACCGCCCAAATCCAAAGGAGCACAGAGGGTAAGAGAGGAGAGGGAGGGCCTTTCCAGCAACTGTTTATTCTTAACAAATCTCTGCCTGCCTGCCTGCCTCGTGTGTGTGTGTGTGTGTGTGTGTGTGTGTGTGTGTGTGTGTGTGTGTTTGCGGCTTATGTATGTATGCATGGATATTCACTCATGCTTACACTTGGGAGGCCACAGCAGTATGTCTACTCTTTCAACCTCCACATAACTCCTTGGAGCTAGGCTAGCAGTAAAAAAGCCCCAGTGAACTTGTCACCTCTGTGCCCTGCCCCCACCCCTCACCCCAGCCCTGGGATGACAGGGCCATGCTGCCACCACTGTCTTTTTTGAGGTGAGTGCTGAAGATCTAAAGTCAGGGCCGAAAGGTTCCTATGGCAAGCACTCTTAACCTACTGAGCCACGTCCCCAACCCTTCTCAGAAAAATACCTGCAGTCCAGGAAAGAAGGCCTGAAGAGAGTCAATCCATGTGTTCATGAGCTGCCCACTGAACATGTTCACGTTGACATAGAGTGGCGGGTCTCCTTCCCCTTCATTGCAGGCTTCCCGGCTGTGGATCCAAAGAGCACAGGTGAAGCTGGAAAGGAAGCCTGTCGACAGAGCCCCAGCTCAGTTCCTCTTGCAGTTCACCTCTCTGTGTATCACTGCAGGAAAATTAATGCTGACTTTTCCCAACACCTTCCCTACGTCTTTGGCAGCAAAAATGCCTGTAGGTGTTCTAAATGAAGCCTTTGTGGAATAGCAAGACTTCATTACACTTACAGAAAGCACTTTGACATTTGGGTTTCAGAACACTGACATGTGACAAAATTGGTCTGTGCTGGCCTTGACCCAGTTAGGGAAGCGTGTTTTATTCTGCTGGGGTCTCTTCTCTGGTACAGAAGGAACACAATTCTGTAAAAAGTAGGCCTGTGGGGTTCTATCAAGGCAGAGCTGAGAGCTTTCTACTCAGTTTGGTCCAGTATTTCGTAAAGCTAAAATGAACTGGGTAGGATAGCGAATGCCTGTAATCACTGCACTCAGGAGTGAGGCAGGAGGGTAGCAAGTCTCAGAAGGCAAAGAGCACACTTCAGCAAGAGTAAAACTGTAATGGCAGAGAAAATTAGCACAGTCTCTACATAATAATGACATTCAAAAATCATGAAGCAATCCATATTTGCAGTTTGAGGGTTGTCTGACAAAACCACCAAAAAAGCTGTAAGAACAATTACTCTCTAGAACCCTACAGTGAGTGGGGAATAGGGGAGAGAAAGAAAAGAAAAGCAAAAGTTACAACTCTAGCCAAAAGCCTTATGATTTGGTTTTGGTTTTTTTTTTTTTTTTTTTTTTTTTTTTTTTGCAATAGTTTAAATTTTTTTTGTGTGTGTATTTGTGAGTGTCTGCATAGCCATTTAGGCATGTACATGTGGGTGCCCACAGAGGCCAGAAGAAGAGCTGGAGTTATAGGAAGCTGTGAGCCACCATATACAGGTTTTGGAAACCAAACTTGGGTCCTCTGCAAAAGTGACAAGTGCCATTGGCCTCTAAGCCATCTCTCAGCCCCCAAGAGCTCTCAAAAAATTGGTTTTACAACAGCTGATGTAGAAATGAGTTAAGAGCTTATGAAACTGGAAGCACCGTAGCTATTACTTCCATTAGCCACTTACTACATACATGTACAGAGAAACACCTAGGAGGAAAGCTTGTTGGAGAGAGCTCTGCAGCACTGCACAGCTTTTCCGCAGTCTCTACGGCCACTGTGATAGAAGTGAAACAAAAGAAAACAAAAAAAGCAGTGCTTTAAACAGACTGAGTGCAGTGGGGGGAGGGGGCTAACGGATTCCTATTATAAAGGACATTTCTGAGACTGGAGAAATGGTTTAAAGGTTAAGAACACTTCATGCGAGATCCTGGGCCAAAACCAATGACTCACCAGTTCACGGATCCCTGTCCCTTATAAACTATGAGGTACTCTAAGCCACCAGGTTTCGGGGTACTATGCTACACAATGAGCAACTCCCAAATGGCCAGCAATCAATTAAGAGAAATGGTAAATAAGAACATAAAGAGACCCTGCAAGTTTATATTAACAGAAATGGAGCTGGCATGGTAGCTCACACCTGTAACCCCAGCACATGGGATGCTGAGGCTGTTGCAGGAAGTGTTGTGAATCAGCTGCAGGCCAGCCCGGCTAAAGAGTAAGATCTCTTCTAGGTGTGGTGGAACACAGCTGTGATTACAGCACTAGGAAGCAGCAGCAAGAGGACTACTGCGAATGTGAGTCCAACGGAGGCCAGGCAGGGCCATCCAGGGACACTCCGCCCCAGCACCTTCAAATTGTAAGAAGATGGCTGGCAAGAATTGAGCAGTGAAGATGCTTGTCCTCAAACCTGAACCCCTGGATTTCATTCCTGGGCTGACATGGCAGGTGAGAACCAGTTCCTGCAAGCCATCCCTCTGACCTCCACACGTGAGTGAGCCATGGCCCAGAGATCCCTCTCCAAAAACAATACAACACCTAATCATACTAAAATAAAATAAACTGAAAGCAGGGCTGGGCAGGAACGTTTCTGAACGCACAGTACAGGGAAGACGTGATATCAGGGACACACACCCTCTTCGCAGGTAGCTCTGGATGCTCTGATACGCAGCATTAAACATCTCTAGGTCTTCTTTTTCTCCAAAAAGGATGTAAGATTTCAAGAGGTATTCGTAGAAGGAATCCAGCCCAGCACCCAAGCCACTCTGCTTTCCAACCCAATGGCCTGTCTGGATGTTCACAACATTGCCTGTGGGGAAAAAAATACACAAGGCCCTTCAGGTCTCAACCATGGCAGAGGTGGGTGGGGCAGGTAAGGCCCTTCTACTTCCTTCCCACTGCTTTTCAGCATCTGGCAGATATGAGGAATGGATAGTTGAGCCTAAAATATTTTTTTTATTAGTTCTATCAGTAACTTGGAAAATAGAGCTTATTCCATAGCACTTAGGTGTGTGTGCATGTAGGCATGCATTTAGTATTCAGCAACAGATGAAGAAGGAGGATAAACATGTAGAAAAAAAAAAGCACAGCATTTTGCTTTCCCAGCATAGTAATGCATCTGAAAACCCAATGGAGTATTCACAGCCTTTTACTCCGGATTCGCATTCCTTGGAATTTGTCCTAAAATTATGCTTATAAAAACAAATGCTCATAGCTGGGGATACAGATCAGTGGCAGAGTAGCTGCCTAACACATACAAGGACCTGAGTTCTAACACCACAAGATAGCCAGATGTGGTAGTGCACAGGTTTAAAGCATAATGAGTTTAAGGTCATTTTGGGGGCTGCACAGAAAGTGGAAGCCAGTAGATACTGCATAACAAGACCTTTATCAAAAAAAAAAAAAAAAAGAGGGATAAAACATGTATAGCTTCCAAAATAGATAACTATGAAAGCAAGGCAACAACTTGGAAACATTAGAATGATCTGCCAAATGCATACAGCATAAAACCCTTGTTTCTATTAGTAGTGTGTTATAACCAAAAAGTCACAAAAGTTACACATGGAAGGCTGAGAGGGCCTACAGGAAGCTAGGTGGTCAGCTTACTCTGCAGCCCAGGCTGGCCTCCAATTCACCATGGCTCCTGCCTGAGCCCCAGAGTGCTATATTTACAGACGTGTGTTACCACATTCAGCCTCAGTCACTTTGTTTCCATTGCTGCTATTCAATGTATAAAGTTTGTAGATAAATTTCAGAAGACAGAAATTACTTTTCAAAAACCTTTTATAAATGACCCAATATTGTCCTGAAACAACCAAGTTATTTCCAGATGCCAAAAAGAAAATATGTTCCAATAAGACAATTTTATGATGTTAAAAACCCATTTTAAAACAACACTGTTAGTTAGCAAAATATGGGTAGTTACTAAAGATGAATGTCATGATGAATACAGAGAGGACAGCGTTTGCTATTATGTCTACTACGCATGCTTAAAACTTTCTATAATCATTTTTAACATCTTGACTATTTTCAAGTGGGGGGAGAATTAATGGATGTTTAATCTAGGCTTTCACTAAAATTTTTTTTCTTTTATTTAAGGAGGGCTTTCCATCAGAAATGCTAAATTTTGTACTTTTAGAACCTTATATTAAAGCAATAAAGTTTGCCTCAGAGACAGTTCTTTTTATGGCACATCTATCAACAATAATTTCCAATGGAATATACCAACAAAAAACAAACTGAAGGGGCTTCTAGCAGCTAAACCATTATTATCTTCCATCAAACCCTAAAACTTACACTAAGCAAAGATCATGTGAAGAAAATGGACCTATTATGCACCAATGGCTGCTGTTCGAGTTATCAATTTTCAATGGCTCAGGGAAGATGAAGTAAAATGTAGTACAAAAACAAACAAACGGGACCACAGGTTCTACAGACCGACTGATGGCAGAAGGCGAGGCCCCACCTAGTAATCCTGTATCGTTGCTCCGAAGGTTCCAGAGGGCTTTCACGGCTCGTCTAGCGACCCACTCAAAAGTAGAATCCCCCAGCAGCCGGCTCAAAATCCCAAATTCCACCAGGAGAGACCCTGCTCCCGCCGTGCAGGTTTCATTATTGCTGTCAGGAGGAACACCCGTCTTCAAATTCACCTGGGACGGGAAAATAAAAAATTGTGAGGAAAGGCCACATAATGCCTTCCACCCCACACCCCAGTGCGGGGAATACTGAGCTAAGCCTTCTGGAGGCCAGTGGGGAATGGCAAGTGAAGCGTCTGCAAATCCTGTGACTCCTTGAAAGGTCCTGATCCACTGCACACAGTGTTGATCCACAGGGACTCCCAGCACACTAGGGAAGTGTCAAAATGGATCCGAGGCTAGTGTGGTGACTGCTTCCCTCTCCTTTACAGAAGCCTCCTAAGGTGACTCTGTCCTCCCCCCCCCCTCCAACATCTCCCACTTTTCCTTATAGTCACACCAACCTGACTGACTGTTACTAGTGCTTGTGGCTAGCATGGGATGGTCTGATTGACCTTTTAATCGTTTAAAAGACTTTACACTGAACAATAAAGTTAGATCTGCACCTTTTAACCTTGTCTCTGGAGTTGATTCCCAGGATTCTGTGTGGGCTCCATCACCATTCACCCCCGTTCTTCCCAGTTCCTGATCCCCACACCCCAGGATGCAGGAGGCCAAGGCAGAAGGGTCATTATGTTGAAGGCCACCCTGACTACAGGGCAAGTTCAAGGCCAACCTCGTAACAAGATCTTGCTTAAGAAAGTTTTGTAGCAGAACTTAAGAATTCACAGCGCTGAAAACTGACACCATGCATATGACACAGAGCTAACGGCCCAGGCCCACTGTGACTCAGCTCAGCACTTGTCATATTACACTCAACCAACAGGAAGAACAAAGAGTCTTACCATCTAATTATCACATTTTTCATGAAACTATCTCCTTCTGCCAGGTGTCCTTCAAGACTACAGCAGCACCAGGTTTGTGGGTTTGTGGTGTTTTGAATAAAAATGTCCCACAAAGGCTCATGTATTTGAACACCTGGTGCACAGTCAGTGGGGCTACTGCTTGAGGCTAGAGAACCTTTAAGAGATACAGCCTCGCTGGAGGAAGTGCACCATCACTGGGAGGGAGTGGGCTTTGGGGGTTTGTAGCCTCATCCTCCTTCCTGTTCACTTTCTCTGCTTCCTGTGTGAAATACAGTTTCCTGCTCCATCCCTTCCTTGATATTTTTTACTCTCCCTCTATAGCCATAAGCTAAAACACACGCTTCTGTTAAGTCACGCAATAGAAAACAAAGTAATAAGGGGTTAGAGACAAACACAAGCTATAAATGGCTTCTAACTTCAAGTGAGTTTCTAAAGACTCTCTCCTCAACAAACACAAGAAAACTGTTAGGCTGGGAGAGAAGCAGAGGCTGAGCCTCAGTATGACAGCCAATTTCATCATGAAGGTTCTGTGGTCTGGCATTTCTCCCCTGGTTGCCGAAAAGGCTGACACAATTCCCAGAGGAGTTATTTGGCTTGCTAAATCAGATGACAAAAATATATAATCTCATTCCAGATCTTGTATCTAAATCAGCATCTAATTGGCTCATCCTGCAGGCTTCACTTGCAGGCATGTGAAGCATTCAAATAAACATTCACTGAGCTCTGGCGTACACGTGAGGGATCATTGGAAAATAGATCCAAGTCAGAAACGAAGAAACATTCTCCATACTATCTAGTAACAGAAAATGCAAAACACACATGAAAAGTGAACACAGCTCTCTAAGGCAAAAGGCTAACTGCTGTATTATTGTATGTTTAGCACACAGAAGATAATCAGTAAATGCTGAAACAAGTTTTAAAAATTGGCATTACGGGACTCGGAAGATGGCTCAGTGGTGAAGAGCACTGGCTGCTCTCCCAGAGGACCTGGGTTCAATTCCTAGAACCTACATGGCAGTTTACAGCTGTTTGTAATTCCAGTTCTAGGAGATCTGACACCCTCAACCAATATGTAGCCAGAACACCAATGCACATAAAAAACAAACAAACAAACAAAAACAAAACAGTATGTTTAGAATCAATTCCTCTCCAAGGACATCACTTTTTTTTTTTTTTATAACCAGGCTCCATCCCCTTTATAAGAGTTTTAATTCAGAAAACCAGTGAATTGTGAAACACAAGGGGACAAGCCAGCCAGGTGTGGTAACTCATACCAGCAATGCTAACATCTGGAAGGCTGAGGCAAGAAAATCACAAATCCAAGGCCAGCCTGAGCTACACAGCACAGGATCATTGCTCAAAGCAAAGCAAAGCAAAACAATGCAACAAAGCAGTCACTTACCCGAGGATAGGGGATCCCTGTCTTGGTGTTTTCAAAAGCTGGCAGGAGCCGCACAGCCAGGTCATGGGCCATGTACAACAATTCATTATCATAATCCTCAATTGTCATATCACCAAAGGGCTGTTTGGAGTCAGTTATTATTCTGTGAGCTGACAGAAGGCTTCCTAGAACCCTAATGGCAGGAAGGAAAAAAATAATGAGGGCATATTCTGACAAGTGCACAAAATCCAACTTACAAATATGTCTCTACTTCTCAGACTCCACGCTGCCTGGAGCAGAGGACCTGATCCAGTGGCCTCCTATAGTCCCCTCTGTTCTAAGTGACTTTTGGCTCACTGCATTGCTGACAGGAAGAAGGAGAATCATCCATTCAACAACTGAGGATGTATCAGACATCAAAAGCATTAATTTCTTAATCTTGGGGCTTTAAGAAAGAAACGATGCCAACCAGGAAAGCTTCCACTGGTTGTTCTCAAAGGACATATTTCTGTTGGCATCACTGAATTCCTGTTGGTTAGTCTCACAGAACAAGGCGCAACAGAATTATCTAACTTCCGCAGGTCTGACTGCTGGGTGATTGATGAATTATCCCAGTGTCTGGTAAGACAACATGGGGAAGGAAATGATAAAATGAAGAGATACTGAGAAACAAAAGGCTACCTCTCAGATTTATGTCCTTGCAGATACAAAAATGTCCCATTTCAATTATTGAAAAAGGACTGCAACATTTTTCAAATAAATAATTTTTTCTTGTTTTAAAATAAATAATTTCATAACTTTAACCTCAAGGTTCAAATCTGGATTTGGACTATTGGGTGGACAATATAATTTTCAAAATATTTAAACAGGAAAAGAGTCAACTTTTCTCACTGAAGAAATCCAGGCACAAAACTGGTTATAGGCCACGAGTCTACCATATTTGGCAAAGAGTAGGTGACAAATGAGAACCATACAAGAAGAAAAACCATCAAAAGAGCAAGCAGCATTTTTTTTTTTTTTTTTTTTTTTTTTTTTTTGTGGGTAGACAGATGCAGAACTCTGTTTAAAAACATGAATGAGGAATCTGAAGGTGGTAAACAAGGAAGTGAGAAAGGACATAAATGGAATCAATGAAACTGCCCTTGAGGGACATCTCTGTTACGTACCCACTGAAACATGTGTTTCTGTCCAGTCCAAAATGTGATGATGTCCAAGCATCAAAAGTACAAGTTTCCATAAATACTAAACTAAAATGTACATGAATAGTAAAAAGGAGCCTGTACCGCCCATATGGGCTCTGGCTGAAATACCCTTAAGGGAATTAAGTGCCTTACCCAAACACACAAAAGAAGTCTTCAATCCATTTCATGTGCTACTACTATACCTTATCGTAGCCTCAAAGACTTGAACGGTGGAATCTTTGTCAAATGAAACAGTGTTGATCACTAACTTGACTGCTTTCTGGAACTCAGAGGAATTTCCCATTATCTTTAAACAGAAGAACACAAAACATCACAGCAACTTGAAACTGGAACGACAACAGACACTGCACTGCCTATGGCTTTGCTGCAGTGGAAATGGAAACACAGTTATCTCTCACATTATACTCCAGGACAGACAGCAGGCCTGACTCCTGCCACTCACTCAAGGATCCAATCTCCAAGTGGCACAACGGTGAACAAACATTCACAGGATCAACCACTGGAATGTCTGGGTTCCCGCCCCCTCCTTCCCCAATCTCTAAGCTAACCTTTATTTGCAAGGCAGAACAATTCCTAAAAGTTGTGGAATGGGAGAGAATAAGTCAGAAAATTAAAATGTGATTCTATCTCTGCTTCTCAAATAAACCCAAGACATCTGGATAACTAACTGAGCTTGCTTGCCTTCCGGATGTGTGAAGATTTTAAGGAACAGTACTGATAAAACAGCACCAAATCAATGATATTTAAAACAAAATAGGGCCTTGGGAAATAGTTCAGTGGGCAAAAGCATTTGCCATGCAAGCCTGATTGATGGCCTGAGTGCAGATTGCCAGAACCCATGTAAAAATAAAGCACAGTTTGTCCTATGACATCCACATGAAAATCGTGGTACAAACTTGCCCCCACATACAAACATGTACACACTCGTGTAGAAAAATAAATGAATGCTTAAATAATAAAAACATATAAACTGTCAGCTCTATGGCTAATACGAGCATTAACATTCCTATCTGTGGTGTGTAGATACAATGCCATAGCATGTTAGTCCCTCCTAAAAGGTTAGAACTGTCATAAAATATTGTAGCTTAGCCTAAATGATTTGATTTCACCCAAATTTCATAACTACTTTTCATAAAGACATGCACATATACGTTAATCAATCAATAACTAAATGAATGGACAGATAAATAATAAAACCAAGGAGAAATGACTCTTCAGACACTCATTCTTTAGGGTGTGCCTTATCTTCTACTGTACTGGTTTGCTATGTATTTCTCAAATCATAATATTTGCTTAGGTACAGAGCAGACATGTGCTTTCTGTTTTCAGTTCTTTCTTTTTAAAAGCTCATGCAATCTTGTTCAGGTTGCATGCAATAGTCATGGGACTATTTTCCCCTGAGAGTTCTTGCAGCATATCTACAAACATCTGTTGAAAATGCTAAGAAACAGAAAACAAAAAAACCTCAACTTAAGAACACCTGAGAAATGAGCCGACTTACTAATACATTCAAGACCAGAAACTCTACAATAAAAAAACCACCAAAGGGTCTGTTTCCTCACAGATGTTCTCCAAGAACAAGCTCTGGTGCACCTGCAGGACTGGTATGATCTCAGATCAAGCAAGGGGAAGGTGATGAAACCCAGGCACTCCGAGGTACACCCGGTAAGGTGTCACATTAGAGAGCCAGTGAGCAGATAGGAACTGGGGCAGAATTGCACAGGCCTGAGAAAGGCTGACTGCACAGGGGAGGGGCTTCCCAGAATCTTAAAAATGCTGATATGTGGCTCACACCTCTAATTCCAGCAATCTGGGGGCTAACGAAGTTGGAGACTCCGACTAAAAGACCAAAACCTTCCCCTCATTTGTGCAAAGTCCTGGGATCAATCTCCAAGTCCACCATAATATATATTATAGGTAGGGCCATTAATATATATATACATGTGTGTCTATATATGTACTATATACATCCATGCGTAACATGCATGTATATACGCACATATATATACACATGTAAGTATATAACACATATATATATACATATATTAATATGCATGCCTGTAATCACATCACTTGGAGGCTGAAGCAAGAGGAGTGCTGCAAGTGTAAGACCTTCCTGAACCTTAAGGGTCTCAAAACCTAAATGAGGACCGTAATACAGCTCCATAGATAAGGGTACTTGCTACTAAGTTTGACAACTTGAGTTTGATCCCAGGAACCCAAATGATAGGATAGACCGACTCCTACAAGTTGTCCTATGCCCTCCACCCACATGCTATGCCATGTGCACACACACCACAATATATGCAGTAAATAAATGTTCTAAATTTTTTGATTAAGTAATTTTTAAACCCCAACATAAAATTTTAAAAATAAAAATAAGTAAAATGCTGTTTTGTGATGTGGATCTCCAAGGGTCCAAATTTCTCCAGTTTGTTTGGGAACAAAGCTATTCGAAGAGTGTACCCTTAGAATACATGTTGGACCAGACTGGATTAGAACGCATTCACGTAAACAACAATCTGGAGTCCTACTATGTGCCACTTCCTGTCAAGTGTAATGGCAACATCGCTGTACTGAGCAAGCAAGGGGACAGAGAAACATAATGGGGATGGACAAGAGGTGAACTTTCTTAGGCTGTACGAGCACTTTCTGAGCCTCTTTCACAGCAGCGGCTGAGTCGGCCTCCAGCAGCGTCACCGCGGTAGCACTGATTGCAGTGCACTTGCTTGTCTGGGCACATTCTGAGAAGGGATGGTGGAGTACTTAATGGAGCGGCAAGGAAATACTGGGAGACTGAAACTGCTCTGCAACTAGAGCCTAGAAGGAAACCCAGCAGCCCTATTAGAAGAAGGGCCCAGTCCTGTTTCTGCACTCTGTAAAATGAAGGTGCACAACATTACCTCCAGCTGTTTCCAAGCTCTATAATTCTACCGCCAGCAAAACGCGAGACAATCACAGTGTAAACTTAGCTACCTTACGTCTTATACAAGGAAACAAGCAAGAGTTTGTAAAAGTACTAAGGAGATTATAAAACACTGGAAACATCCTTTGGGCACCGTGCTCTCCGGTGCTAGGCCATGAAGCACATAGACACAGTCTGCCTGACAGCATGTCCAGTGTGGTGTTTTGTGTTTATGTTTAAAGGTCTCCAGCCTACCAGGGTCAGTGAGGGATGCCAAGGGACAAGAGGGTAAAGCACTGTGCCAGCTGGCAGACCATATCTAGAGTGAACAGCAGCCAAAACCAAGAAGCAGTAAATGACAGGGAGGTTCACAGAGGAGGCCTCATGTATGGGCAGGCACCCAGACACTCCTGGGTAGCCAATACCTAGAAGCATTTTGGGGTAACTTCTGACCCTAAGATCCTCTGGGCTTTACTCCTGAAGTTCTGTGCAGTAAGTTAAAAAGAAGAATGGCAGATTCGTAAAAAGGAACTAACAGAAAATTACCCTTCAGAATGAACCCTTTAGGAGAGAGAGCCTCCCAACTAAAGCTACGACATTAAAGTTAGGAGAGATAAGTGTGCGGTAGGTGGGGTCCCCGGAAGAGAGGCAGACCACACAGTTCCAGAAAACAAACAGAGGCACTGACTCTTAGAGGTTCTTAGAGTTATGGGCATGTTTCCCACTCGTGATTTAGTCTGGTCTATGTGTGGGACAGAGAGATGGGTACTCAGTAGGACCAGAAACTTATCTTGCAGCTGCACAGGGGAGGAGGAGGGACTGAGAGACACTGTGCTCTTTCCTTTTTGATGAGCTCTGTTCTAGAGACAAAAGCTACAGAAAGGTGTGGCCCGCTTTCTGGAAAAGAGACATGGAGGCTACAAGGTCCATGTAGAGATTTAAATGAGAAACATCCCCCATACGCTCATGTATTGAAATATTTGGTCCCCAGTAGTTGGTGCTGTTTGGGGACCTTATGGGACCTCTAAGGAAATCCGAGATCCATAGATGAAAATGTGAATGTCAAGCTTCCTGATCCTGCCGCCATGTCATACTTTCCCACCATTGTGGACTACCCTCTGAAACCATTAAATCAAAATAAACTCTCTCTCCCTAAACTGATTCTATCACAGCTACAGGAAAGTACCTACGACAAATACCTGTGAAATAACAGACTACTAAATAGTAACAGTAACTAAATAGTAACAAAATCCTCCAGACTCTATTAGTACATACAATGGTTTTCTACAAACTAACCATGCATTTCTTACCTACCTTTAAAGGAAAGTCACACTTCTCCTCACTTAACCTTTGGTGCTTTCTTGCCTTCCCATAAAGGTCATTAAAATAAATAACACTCATCAAAGCCTTCTGAGTACAGCATTTCCTAGAATCCCCATTCCTAGGGGAAATGAGGAAATACAATAAACCCCCAAACACTTTATCTTAATTATCTTAATTAAAGAAAAAAAAAAAAGGCTGAACACTTACTGCAAGTGTATCCAAGGCATCAACAAGAGTCAGGGAGTAATTCCCTAGGACATCATTGATGTTCAGATTTGAACTGAAAAAGAAAGAATTAAAATTAAGCAAAGGTATTTTATGATTAAAGTGAAAGAGAAAAAGGACCATAAAACTAAACACCCATCAGAAACTGAAACTGTTCTCAATGCATATGAAGCAGAAAGCAACTGTAGGCAGAGAGTAGGGTAAGGGCCTTCTGTGTCTGTGTGGAGCATTGGTGTCTGTGGTCACAGGAGGAGGAGCTGCAGCACCACAGAGACTTCTGTCCAGGGCAATAGTGAGAAAGGCCACAGGGAAGTCTGATACAGACTGTCAACCATTTGAGATCTTTAACCTTGCCCAACTTCAAAACTCTCTTAATTTCACAATCATTAGAACTAAAGAAGGAATCCTCCTGTCATATGACCCAGCATTTCTTCATTGCTCAAACTATGACACACAGTGAAAACTAACACACCTGGAAAGGCTGGACAAACAGTGAAAATGACCTGGTGTAGCTGAAGAAATTCAGATCATGGACTTTTCACTGACTCCCTTGTCCCATTACCACAAAGCCAGAAAATTATTACAAAGGCTTAAAGGGAAAAGAAAATAATAGTAAAAGAAAAAATAAGACAACTACTTAAAGACCTCATTAACTACAGACCAAAGCAAGAAAGCCCTGCTTTCATTTCCAGCCACAGACCCGTTCACATCTGGCGCCCCCACCATCTCGGCATGCCACCTGCGCTTGCATCACCCTAAAGGTCCTTGCCCCACTTCCTTCCTATGAAAGAGGTTTTAAGGGTCACATCCCATAGGTGCACATGGCTCGCCCTGCTGTGTCTCTAAAAGACCTTTTGGGGCTGCTAAGATGAGTCAGTGGGAAAAGGCACTTAAAGCCAACCGTGGGAACCTCCACAGGACTCACAAAGTGAAGAAGAGCCCTGAATCCCACAAGCTACCCTCACCTGCACACACGCACCACAGCACACACTACACACAAACACTACACACATACACACAAACACAGGATAAAAATGAAAGGCCTTTTGTGCTTCATTGAGCAGGAAATGGAACTTTCATAAACAACTTCCACATCTGACCTTATCCAGACTTCCCAGTGGCTCTATTTCATGTGTGTTGGATACTGAGCAGGAGATATGCAACGTATGGAAAAAAAAAAAAAACAAGTTCAGAGGGGGTTATGTAGGAACCACAGCAACCAACAGCATTGGTGGAAGACTGCACTTGTTCCTTTTATTTGATTCTCTACAGAATTTCATATGATGGCAAAGGCACTCTCAGGATGAGGGTCATGGATTCAAACAGGTCACTCAAAGGCAGTGCTGAGCACACAGGAATTGCCAATGGTTGGAGGAGGGTCAAAGCACACATTTAAGTGTGTCCTCAAGAACACTCGGCTGAGTTTAAATATTTAACTACAGGACTATGCTGCTCAGAAACAGAGTGATTTCCAAACACCCACCTCACCAAAATGGTTCTCCTAGCACTTAGCACCCCACCTGAAAGGAATGAACAAGAAATCCATATTACTACTCGGCCTTAGGGCCCTCTCCTGAGCTACACCCTAAACTGTAGCAAGTGCCACCCTCCCCAGCTGCCCAGGGTCCAAGGAAGGCACTGGTAATCTGGAGCACCGGGCTCATTTCCATGTTTACTGTGCTTTTTCCTCTCAGTCCACACATAGAAGGGACACAGTGTTCAACTCCTTAAGAGCTGGGTACACAGCTACTGGTACAGTGCTTGCCTTGCATGTTAAGATGCTGGGTTGGAAGCTCCGCATCAACCCACCCCCCAAAACAACAACAGCTCCTCAATAACACTGGCCAAAAGCCAGTAACAATTTGTAAGTGTTACCAGAGTTTGTTTATTTTTAAATATATTTGTAATAACTGTGATAGTTCCAACTCTAGTTAAGAAATCCACTTAAAGATCTAGAATGTTCACTAGAACATTTTGAATTCTCTTCTACCAAATAATCCCAGCACATAGGAAACTGGGGCAGAAGACTATAACGTTCCTTGCTTACACAGTCAGACCATGTCTCAGAAAAAAAAAAAAAAAAGATAGTAATAGAAATTATCAAAATAGGGGGAACAAAGTAGAGAGTGAAAGAAAATTTCGATTTCATGAAACAACTGTTCCTGGTTCAACAGCATTTGAACAATTCCCTGCTTCCGTTTGTCAGCCCATCCTGCAGATAATAACACAGCTCTGCTCTTTGGGCACCCAACAGCTGAAGAAGTCAATCTTTCCGGACAAGGCAAAAACCAAGGGGACAAGTACGCCCATGTAAGCAGCTGGTTAAACCACAACTCAGCTCCCTCCTAATTCATTACGTGTGAATGTAAACTGGTACAACCACTCTGGAAATCTAGCTGGCGCTTTCTAAGACAATTAGGAATAGTGCTTCCTCAAGACCCAGCTATACCACTGCTAGGTATATACACAAACTTTGCTCAAGTACACAAAAGGGATATTTGCTCAACCATGTTTATAGCAGCTTTATTTGTAATAGCCAGAACCTGGAAACAACCCAGATGTCCATCAACGGAGGAATGGGTACAGAAATTGTGATATTTTTACACAATGGAATACTACTCAGCAATCAAAAAGGAGGAAATCATGAAATTTGCAGGCAAATGGTGGGATCTAGAAAAGATCATCCTGAGTGAAATATCCCAGAAGGAGAAAGACAAACACGGTATATACTCACTTATATAGACCTATAAGATATGATAAACATAATGAAATCTATACACCTAAGAAAGATAATCAAGAGAGCGGACATGGGGTAAGATTATCAATCCTCGTGTTGAAAGACAGAGGGGATGCGCATTGAACATTGACAGGAGTCTACTGAGCGCATTTGAAAGACTCTAACTAGCAGTGTTTTCAAAGCAAAGACTCATGACCAAACCTTTGGCAGAGTACAGGGAATCATAAGAAAGAAGGGGAGTTAGTCTGATGAGGAAAGGATAGGAGCTCCACAAGGACCAAATATATCTGGGCACAGGGTCTTTTCTGAGACTGACATGCAACCAAGGACCATGTATGAATGTAACCTAGAACCTCTGCTCAGATGTAGCCTGTGGTAGCTCAATAACCAATTGGTTTCCCATAGTGAGGGGAACAAGGACTATTTCTAACAGGAACTCAATGACTGGCTCTTTGGCCTCTCCACCCCCCAAGGCAGGAGCAGTCTTGTTAGGCCACAGAGGAGAGCTTTGCAGCCAGTCCTGAAGATACCTGATAAAACAGGATCGGATGAATGGGGAGGAGGTCCCCCTATCAGTGGACTTGGCAAGGGGCACGGTGGAGATGAGGGAGGGAGGGAGGGACTGGGAGGGAATGAGGGATCGGGACACGGCTGGGATACAGAGTTAATAAAATGTAACTGATAAGAAAAAAATAAAATTCAAAAAAAAAAGAAAGTTTGTAGCATGACACTCTGAAGTTCTTATTACCTCTATACAAACAAATAGAAGAGGAAAAGGAAGAGAGGAGGAAGTAAAGGACAGAGACCATGACTCGCCTATGCTAGGAAATCTTTGATCCTGTAGCTACTAAAATCAAGCAGACGGGTGGGGGCAGGGGGGGAGTGCTGCAAATACTCAACCTGTAACAGCTGTTCAGAATTTTATCTGTTCGGTGTGGGCTGAAAGGTAAAACAAATAGTCCCTGTGCACTCAAGGACTTAGAAATCCAGAGGGAAGGAAAGGGAACAGGAAGGTAAATAAACATGGTACTCAATTCTCAAACAAAGTTGAAATTCAGAATGAGCAAACCAAGAAAAATCACCTTCCATAGCTCAAGGAACACTTGAACTTGACTGAAAGATTTTTGAAAAAGGAATTCTAGAAGAAGGTGTGTGTGTGTGTGTGTGTGTGTGTGTGTGTGTGTGTGTGTGTGTGAAGGCACACACACTCGTGCATGAGAAGCTTGTGCAGGATTCCAAGTGTCCGGCTGCCTCTCTCCATCATATTCCCTGGAGAGAGGGACGTTCAGAGAACCTGGAACTCACCAGGCAGCCAGCAAACCCAGGCAGTCCTCTGGTCTCCACCCCACAGTGTTTGGATTACAAAGCAGTGACCACACCCAGCTTTTTACATGCTTGTTAGGGATTCCAACTTAAGTCTTCCTATACAGCACTCTAACCCAGCCCAGGAAGCGGCCATCTTAAACTAGCCGGTGCCCAGGAACACAGTGGGTGAGGAACCAATATTTCCTCTGTTCATTTGGAATTTTCTTTTTGTTTTAAGAAGCGGTAGGATCGAGCATGGTCACAGGCCCAAACCCCCAAATTTATAAGCCTCCCACAGGATTACAGAAATATCTAAATTTTATCCAATGTTTCAATTTGGATTCTACAACCCAACAGTAGCCAGGGGCTAGAGAGAGACTGGCTGTTTTTAAAGGGTTCAAAATCTGTTTACTTCATGTTAAATCAACACAGGGCCCAAGTGTATCAAGATAAGCATCAAGAGCCTGTGATAACAAGATATGACACAGCCAGGCAAGGTGGCCTGAGCCTGTAATCACAGGACTTGGGAGATAGAAGGCAGGCTGATCTGGAGCAGAGGTCATCCTCTGTTGCCTATTCAGTTGAAGGCCAGTGTATGGTATGTGAAACCCTGCTTCAAAAAAGAGACAAGCAGAGAGAGAGAGACAACCAGAAAGAGAGAGAGTACACATTATGGCTTTATACTGTTTTAGGTAATTTCTAATAGCAGGTTCATTATTTTTAAAATAATATTAGATAACAATAATGAATATATTTGAATTATTTAAATCTGAAAAATGTTTTTTGGGCGTGGTGAAAGTACACTTTGTAATAATTCCAGGCTGAGGCAGGAGAACTGTTAAGTCTGAGGACAGCCTGGTAGGCTCTCGTCTCAGAACATTTTTGTTGTTACGTTATTTTTTGGAGCAATCATATCGAATTAAGGGCCTCCTACATTCTAGACAAGTACTCTATCACTGAAATACATATCCAGAACTCAAAATAAAATTTTACTTTTTAACATGTGTTCGTGCATGTCCATGCATGTACATTCATCTACAGGGAGACCGGAAGATCCCCTGGAGCTCAGTTATAGGTGGTTTTGCGTGCTGAGAGCAAACTGCAGTTCTCTGTAAGAGCAGCAAGCACTTTTTGCTACTGAGCCATCTCTCCAGCCCTCAAAGTCTAGCCCTTAAAAGGACCAGGAACATAGCTTAGTAACAAATCTCTTATCTGTAACTAATGTGCCAGCCCTGGGTTCAACTCTCATTATTAGAAAAGAAAAAAAAAAGAAGAAAGAAAGAAAGAAAGAAAGAAAGAAAGAAAGAAAGAAAGAAAGAAAGAAAGAAAGAAAGAAAAGAAAGACAGTTAAAACATATCCCACTTGTTCAGGGCGAGAGTCACAAAAGCACAGGCTTGAAACACTCCTAAAAATGCCAAAGCTTCAGAGGAACTACACTACAGAGAGCAGGTACAATATATATAACTAAATAAATAAATAAAAAGTAAATAAATAGCTTTCTCTTCCTTGAATTGGCCAATATGAGGGTCTGTTCAAGGCCACAAAACCCCAGTGCTCTTTTACTCTGTCAAAAACACAAACGCTTGCCAGCTGTACGTCAAATGCCACCATCCTCAATGGCCGCTAATGCCGTCATCGCAGGTGGAGAAGGGACTTCAACTTCTACAAACTGCCACTGCACAACCAAAGCAAACCACAACACTTACCATCAACCTCTAAAAAGGCCTATGCCCTGCAAGATGCCACTGGGACCAACAATTTCAACCAACCACTATCACTTCACTTGGCTAAAGAGCCCCACGCCCCCACCCTAAATGTTCCAGAAAGTGCTTACGGTTTATTACAAAATAGTAAATAAATAAATAAATCATTAAAGCTAAGCCTGGTAACACAGGTTTGTAACTCCAGCTACTCAGGAGTCTGAAGCAAGATTGCAAATTCAAGGCCTGCGGGAGCTGCAAGTTCAAAGCCAGCCTGTTCAACCTGGCAAGACTGTCTCAAATTGATTTAGTCCAGCAGTGAACTACTTGCCCAGCATGCACAAGGCCCAAGCGTAACAGGCGCTTAGATGTTGCTTCTGCTGAAAAGCTGGCTTCTCACATGAGCCCACACAGCAACTAAAAACAAGATGAAACCCTGGCATCTCTGTCTTCCTTTCATATCGGTCTCCTTTCCTTTGGGTCATCCTGCTTTGTTAATCATTCCAGGAGAGCCTCTCTCATTCCTGAGACTGAAAGCATTGTCTTAACCCTGTAGTCATCTTACATTCCAGATGATGAGGAAAATTGTGTATGAGGCAGTACCCTAAGCAGATCACCTTACAAGAATTAGATTAGCCCCTCAGCTAGGTGACTAGAAACAGATTAACAATGTGCAGGCCCACCTTGCAAGACCTGAGCTGATACTGCAATGGCAGAGACCACACTTGACCCAGATCGCTTAGCTATACATCTCTCACACACTCTACACCAACCCTTCCTCTACTGGAACTTAAGGCTCAAGGCAGGACCATGAAGCCCAATTCACAGACAGTAGGACCCCTTATTTGTTCCTCTTCCCAGGAGGTTAATTAAGTCTCTTTACTCTGCTTTGTGCCAGTAATTGTCTCTTTAATTGGCACCTTGGGATGAGTGGCCAAGCCCAGCTTATTAGGACAGCTGGAGCCAAGGCTTTTACTATTACACACCAATTATGCTAGGAACAATCCTCAGCATGCGAGAAAGACAGAAAGACTGACAAACCTACAGAGGAAAGAGAGAAAGAAAGACTAAAAGACAGACCAAAGAAAAAGAGAGAATGACAGCCAAAGACTGAAAGTTAAGAAAGACTGAAAGACCAACAAACTAAAGAAAGAAGGGGGGCAAAAGAAGGATAAAAAGAAAGACACGTTAAGGAAGAGTCACTTTCTGAGGAAGTGCTATGTATCAGCACAGCAGTTCCTAGCCCAGAGGAGAAGAGAGAGACAACGAGATCTAAATAAAAGGATTCATGTCATGCTTAAGGTTCAGTTGGAAGTATATCAGAAATACCCTGCAAAATAGTCAAGGAAGGTTGAACCCAACAATAATCATCTATAGATTTTCAAACCTTTTTTTGGGTCTTGATGTCAAGTGTTGATGAGTCTTTGGTACACAAATAAAAATATTGTCTTTGTAAAATAATAATAAAAAAAGATCCAAATTAGGTACACACTTAAGTTGTAACTTTGAGAAAGAAAAAAAAAAAAGAAAGGGAAGAAAGAGAGAGAGAGAAAGAAAGAAAGAGAATTATGTGTTGCCATATGGGTAGGAACTGACAGAAAAGATCTACTGAAAATAATTGGTAGGATTTCTCAGTTTCCCCTCCCACATTCAATGAAATATATTCTCACAAAATAAAGGATAAAAAAAAAGGGAGGAAAGAGGAGGGGAGAAGAAAGGGAAGAAGCGGGAAAGCTGGGAATTGAAGAAAACACAGTCATAGGTACAAAGTCTCCTTGTATTTCTTCCTATAATCCCAAAAGGACGAGTGTCACTTCACAAAATGTTAGTTTTCCCCCAAAGAAACTTGGAGAAAATACATTTATATAAAAGAAAGAAGAACTGAAAATTAGCTCATCTGTGAAGAACTGCGTGGAGCTATGTCATGTGTTCAGTTCCCAGCACTACTGAAAAAAAGCAGGAAGAGAGACGGAGGGGTGATGTGGTTAGGCAAGACTAGTTCATCAGTCAGCTACAACTATGAGAAGACCCAGTCCTTCTGTGTAGCCGCTCCCTTGCCATTAACTCATGGGGGGGGGGGCAATTTTTCACACACAACCATCCCACGTTTAAAGCTCTCCTTGCCCTTTTAGAGTCATAGCTAGCTTTCCTTTAACCAAAACAAATTTTTTAAAAATGTATTGGAGAAGGTGTACATGCGTGTCGGAGTATGTGCCCAGGACAGAGGACAATTCTGGGGAGCCCCCACAGTTCTCTTTCTCCTTCCTCCATGTGGGTCCCGGGGAATCAAACTCAAGCCGTGAGCTTAGCGCCAAGCGCCCTTACTGACTGAACCATTTCAGCAGCCCGTAACTTTCCTTTTAGAAACTAAGAACCCTCCACAGCTTCCCACAAGGCGAAGGAAAATACACACGCCAGGTGTCCAAGGGTACCCATGCGTAGCGCCAGGACAATGAACAGTCCAATGAACAGTCCAACTCCACTCCCATCGAAGCGGAGGGAAACACCAGTCACCAACCGGCCTGACTGGGTCCAAAGCAGTGCACACCCTCCAGGAAGGAGGACCTTGGCTGGCTGTCCTGCTCTCTTGGACTTTGAAGTCCACCAGAGTAACCCTAGAACTCCACCTTCCCATACGTGGCTAGTGGGCTGGGTGGACTGGCTGACCTTCTGACAGTACCATCACCCTACTGGTGTTCACGATGGCGCCAAGCAATGTCAGTCAGTTCAGCGCCTCAGAGACCATCCTTGCGATCCAGATCGCAAAGCTGGGCCAGGCACCCCCTTCCCCATCCCTCCCAACTAGCCCTCCGAGGCCTAGGCAGCGGACCCAGGGAAGGAGAAACGGTAACCTCTCAACCCACCCACTGTGTCCAACACACAGGATGCCCCCTTTCTGGGAACCCGCTTCTTAATTTTTACAATAAAAACATTTGGGTGTGGCATTCTGATGAGGAGCGGGGAGGGTTCGTTCTGAAGCTATGTATTCCAAGGAAACCCTGTAGCTTGACGCCACTTAGATAATGTGTCCATCTGGACCAGCGGTATCCCTCGCCTCTACGACTGTCTCTTCCGGTCCCTGGCCCTCAGTTTCCCCACCCGCAACAGAGAACGACAGGGACAGCTGTCCTTTAAGTCTGGAGGGTCCGGGAGAATCAAGAGGACGGCAGTGCCCCGGACGGCGGGGAGGAAGAACCCCGGGCTGCGGCGGACCCTAAAGACCCTGGCGTCCCCTCGGGGAGCCGGAGGGGCGGAAGGGAGTGCGCCGGGCGTCCGGCGGGCGCGGGCTACTCACGGATCTCCGCGGTCCGGCCCCCGGCCGCGGCAGTGGATGGGGTTGAGCTCGTCCTGCGGGAAGGCGTGCGCCATGTAGTTGTCGTAGCCGAAGACGAACATGCCCCGCGCCAGGTCGCGCATCTGGGCACGCAGCTGCGGCGGGAAGGCGCCGCTGTAGCGCCGCTCGTACTCGTCCGGGCCGCAGCCGCGGCCGCCCAGAGCATAGCCCCAGTGCGCCGCGCCACACACGCCGGGCCCCGGCCCCGGCCCCGGCCCCGGCTCCGGGCCCCGCGGGGTCTCGAGCCGCCCCTCCGTCCCGCGCCTTGGCCGATGCAGCCAGGCCGGACCCCCGGGCGGACCCACTGGCTCCGAGCCGTCGGGGTCCCTCAAGCGCTGGAAGCCGAAGCTGAGCGGAAAGCGCTGGTAGAAGCCCATGCTGGGCCCCAGCCCGAAGACCAACCAGAGCACTGCGTGGAGGCCGAGGCGCAGCAGCACCAGCCCCAGGACGAGCGCTCGCCATTGCATGGTCGCGCGGCCGCCGCGGGCATTATTTTGAAGCGCCGGGCGCGTCCCTAGCCGACCGCCGCCCCGCGCGTCCGCCCGGGAGACCGCTCACTTCCCCTTTAAGGAACTCCCTCGTGACGCACCAGGAACTGGCCCATTGTCCCCCGCCCCATGGCCCGGCCCGGCCCGCCAGGCCCCGCGTTCGCCCGCCGGCCGCCCGGGATTGGCCTCGCGCGGGCCCGGCCTCGAGGGGCGCGGCCGGGGACCCCCTCCCGCTCTATAGGTCGCCGGGACCCCAAGGCCCCGCCCCGCCGCCGGGCCACGCCCTCTGGGCGGATCCCAGTCGGGTCCAGCTGGCGTGGCGAGCCTAGGTCGCTGCGGCTCTTTGGGGAAAGAACTTCCAACCAATGGAAGCGCGGCAAGGGAGCTCCTAGAGCCGGACACTGACGCGGCCCCAGACCCGCCCTAGCTCCGGTAAATGATGCCCCTGGGCGGAATGTTTCTTGGTATGAGGATAGATGGGAGAAAGCGCCTCCAGGTCTGGAGTGTAAGGGGTGAGAAAGTTAAGGCCCTTGAGACAAAGGTACCTGCGCATTTTTAGGAAAGGTTTTTAATTTGGTGGGAGTGAGACCCCATCTCTCTGGCTCAGACTGCCCGAAATGCCATCCAGTTTTTGTTGTTGTTTTCTGGAACGCCTTAACTTGGAAAAATCATTCATGATACTTACTATACTCCGAGAACCCAACCTATCTCAACAGGGCGAGGCGAGAGAACTATCTAAACATCTCTCCTGTTCTTCCCGTCTCCGCAGTGTAGGACAGCAGCAACTTTGGAAATGTAAGGCAGATTTGGAGTTTAAATCCTAACCCCTATAATTAAGAAGGTTAGATTTCATTTCTTAAGGCTTTCAACGCGCGGAGCGTCTGTAAATGTTTTTTGCCTTCCCTCAGTTTCACCTTGTGTCTATCAAACTTAAAAGGGGGAAGTAAACAAGTCACTAATCATCAAGGCAGTGATGGGGAGGATTTCAGTCAGTCTTAGCACATTCTTCTTCCATTTTCAGGGTCGTGGTAGCTCCTGCAATGTGATAGGGTACAAGAGAGCAGCTAGCAACAGTGAAGTTCTTTGGGTTAGCAGAGGGATTTTTGTTTGTTTTGAGAGACAAAGGCCCAAGCAGTATACAAAATAACAATAATTTTGAAAAATTAAAAAGTGACTGGGGTAATTTCTGGAAGTCCAGGTCATTTCAGCTCTAGAACCTTAACTATTAGATTCCATCTCCCAGCAGCTGACACAACTGACTGTGAGCATTAAATATGTGCTTTGTTTCCTCCTTAAGCTACTTTTGTGCAAAATTTAGGTTAAATTCATCTTGCACTCTAGTGAGCTGTCAACCACACTGATGACAATGCCTGTTCTCACATTACAGAGAAGCCCTAAAAAAAAAAAAAAAAAAGTCTAACAACGAGAGAAAACCAACTTATGAAAAATGCTTTTCATAGCACAACAGACATTAGGTGCAGGTAGAACAGGTTTTCAGGACACTATTATGTATTACTATCTTATCTTCATAGAAAACACTAAAAATGGAGTATCTGTGACTGGCCCTTTAGACTAGGACTTCTCAAATTGAATGTAGCTGATGAAGTTGAGACATCTGTATCAGATAATCCAGCCTTAAATATAAAAACAAAAAATTCTGAGAATCTCACTACCCAGCCCCAGTTGGCTCCAACTTGTGATCCTCCTACCTCAGCTTGCAAATGCTGAGATTACAGGTTTAAACCACCATACATAGCTTTAAAAAAAGAATAATAATAATAGGTTTTTCCAAATACATTCTCATAAGGGCATCACAGGATTGACATGAAAATGTCACTTTCATTTTAAGAACAGCTTTACTGTGCAGCTCCAAAGAGACAGCTGAGAATCCAGTGAGAATCTTGCCTGAGCAACCCTGCTAAGTTAGTTTCTGCAACCTGTTTCCGCAGCTGCAACATATTCCGTTTTGTTTTAAGATCAGAACAGTACTTATCACAAATTCTCATACACTCAAATAAAAGACTTGCAATAGTGGGCCCTGTTAATGAGATTTTATTTTGCATGAAGAAAATAAGAAACCGGTATGTTGCCAGGCAGAGGCAACTTTTATGTGGGTGAGGTCAAGACAATGTCTTGTGGACTGTTAATTTCTAAAACAAGTGACTTGACTTATTAAAAGTTAACTTTTTCAGCCAGCTGTGGTGGCACACACCTTTAATCCCAGCACTTCAGAATCAGAGGCAAGTAGATTCCTGTGAGTTAGAGGCAGCCTGGTCTTTTTTTTTTTTTTTAGATTTGTTTGTTTATTATTTACATGTACACCTGCATGCCATCATTCTAGACGGTTGTGAACAACTGCTGGGAAATGAACTCAGGACCTTTGGAAGAGCAGCTAGTATTCTTAACCTCTGAGCCAGCTCTCCAGCCCCGGCCTGATCTTTATAGGAAGTTCAGGTAATCAAACAGTGAAACTATGTCTCAAAAAAGTTAATTTACTAAACAACATATAACAGAGATGAGCAATTAAGGGCAGCACATACCTCAAGTTTTACTCAGGATGCTAAAGCTGAGGCCTGCCTTGACACCAAGACTATGACAAGCCTGAGCAGCACAGTGAGTCCACTGCTCCAAAATAAACAAGCAAAAGGCAGTGAGCTTCCTTCCTCTCCAGCAGTTCTAACTGCCATACCAAATGCTGCACCCACACATGTTGACCTTGTATGTACCATACCCCCAGCACTTTTTATTATTTATACTGCCACAAAGAGAAAACACCTTAATGTTCACTCTTTATGTGAACTGTGTCAAATGGTATAAGAGACAATAGCAATTTGAGTTTCTCTTTGCAGAATGGGAATAGAAGTTATAAAATTAGAAATAGTAATAAAACACAGAAACAAAATAACCCACTGGGTGGGACATATTGTGTAACAACTGAGGACAGACCACTGTTGCAGATGACTGGGGTGGGGAGAGCACAATAATGACCAACTGGCTGATGTTCTGCTTCCCATGTCAAAAGCGAAGATCAATGTCACTTGGTTCTCTCCTGGCCTCGCTTGTATTTTCTAAGTCTTCCAGGTTTCTCAAGCTGCTGAACCTACAGCAGCTACAAAGTGTTACATATTCTAAACAGCTTAGTCCCAAATTCCTAGTAGGAATGTTTCCTCAATGGATACAGAGTAAAACCGCCTGTAACTTGTGCCTTTCTAAGAATGTAAGCCTGTAGGTTTTAACAGTACTTCCTTCTAAGTTGTTGCATCTTTCTATAAACTAGCCCTTCACTACAATAAAACAAGTGGGGAAAAGTAAACATTTTTATATTTTCAAGTAGATGGCACATAAATCACTGTCACTAGGCGTGTGGGCACTGTGTGTCTGCTCTAGCTACTATCCACACTTCTAATCTGCCAGAATGGCTGTGAGTGGCTCTGTTAAAAATCCTCCTCATTGGAAAGCTGGGTCTTCAGCAACTCAACAGGGACACTACCAGTTAGTGACAAAGAAAAGAAAGCATCCCTAAGTGTCAAAGTGACACTCTTCACGATCAGGCTACATTAGCATGTTAAGCTGAGATCTCTTCCACACATCCCATCCTTTTACCAATGCATGATCTGTAAGGGCCAGCAAAAGGAGGCTGGGCTATCTTTCCTCCCTCCTGATTCGTGCAGGGAAATCTGCATTACCTAAGTGTGGTAATTCTATTTTAAAAGGAAATAATCCTGCAAATGGGATCTTCTGCTGTTACTATTGCTGCTGTAGATTAAAAGTCTACACTGCATTCTATCTTGAATGTCACTGACCTGTTTCTGTTTCCCTAACACCACCCAAAAAGCATCAATGACAAGGGTATCTACTCTTATTAACAGCTCAATTTTAAACATAAATGTGTGGAGGATATTTACCAACAGGAAACACCTGCCATGGGCTGCCAACTTGTAAAACAGCAAAGTTAAAGAAGTCTGTAAGGCCACTATTTGCATGACTATTTTCTTCCAAAGTCTTCTGACTCACAACTGTGCACTGTTGGAGGCAGAACATTCAGTTTTCGGTAAAATGTAAATGTGTAAAACAACAAACATGGTTTCCTCACAGTGGCACATTTTTAGAGTGAAGCACTTGGCCAGCAGGGTGTTACAGATTGGTACCTTCATACCTCATTTAGGTTCCACCCTTCAGACCTTCTGAGAGGTTTAATCACCAAATCAACCTGATTCAACTGTAGATGCAAAAGGAAGTCACTTTCTCAGTCAAAAATAAAGTTCACTAAAGCAGCCGTGGCCCAAAACACCCAATTTACTTATCACACTCAAAAAGACTAATTTGAGAAGTCTCTTTTTAGCTACATATGCATCATCCCAGCACTCATGAGGTTGAGGAAGGAGGATCCTGAGTTTGAGCCCAGCCCAGGCTACAAAGAAAAACCTTGTCTCAAAACAAACAATGCTTTGAGAAAATAAACTTTCCATTTTTGAACTAAGCTAAATGTGTACTTTGAATGTCTTCTCCAGCTCCATCCAGACTCACGTTCCTTGTTACTACCAATTTCACAAAATAGTAAATTCTTGTGATAGAAAAGCCAAATCATACACATTCTCACACACACACACACACACACACACAAATACAGAATGACAGTATGTGAAGAGAAAGACAGCCTAACTAACTTACTTAAACCATTTCTACAATGGCTTGCATTTTTAAAAAGATCAACACACCTTACAGTTCAGATGACAACATATTAGCAAAATGGGCCAAAGTCCTTACTCTAAAAATAGGGCTTTGAAAAAACAATGTTTATTTCTTCTTGTATATGCATGGTATACATACCTAATATGTATATTCCCATGAGAGTGTAGAGATGTACACTCTTGGACTCCAGAAGTTTATGTTGAGTATCTTCTGCAGTAATTTTCTACCTTATCTATTGAAGTAGCATCTCTCAGATGGACACAGATCTCACTGATTAAGCTAGTCTAGCTGGCCACCTTGATGCCCTGTGCCCCCGCCCCCCCCATAAACCAGGCTCTCCACTCCCGGGATTACTGGCAAGCCATCACACAGATGCTTGGCCAATCAT